CAGTCAAAGTACGTAATAAAAGGATTCAGGTGGACCTCTGCGAGCACCCCCTCATCAGAAAAAATGGGTTAGTATTACTACCAAAGCCTCTCAACGGGTATATGACAAATAGACAAATCTCCATTNGGTACCATAACCAAAATTCGGTTACGACGAAGGCAGCAGCACAGTGAACTCGTGTTACTAATAGGTGAATTACGATTGGATTCCAACCAGATAAGGTTTCGGCATGCGAATTTGCCGTTTCCGGGACCACCTCTCCGGTTCAGAGTGAAGTATGGCGATCTTTCGGCGCAGGGTTTATTGCGAGGGTGGCAGTGCTTGAGAAGGGGCTGGGATAAAGGGGTACGTCGTGGGTGGTTGGGCGCATTGGCGATATTTGGGTAGGTGAGGGGTCAGGGATGTGTGGAACAGGGCTCAGTGGTATTGGGTCGATGCTATTCTGAGATATATGTTGCGGAATTGTGCTGATTGGATCCAAAGTGATGCATCTTTTGCTTGTCGCTGCAGGTATATCCAGATCTCCCCACAGCGACTGCTTTTAATGAGCTCGAATGTGGTGTTGATGATAGGCTGTCTAATTGCTACCAATGGTGTATTTCAGTCGTCAAGACGAGGAGCAAGTCTGAAGATATAAGAACCGCAGTGTACCTGAACTAGTAGAACGATGTAAATTGTATTATACTGACAATCAATGTGAAAAAAAGGACAAAGCATGCGTGAAACTGTGAACTTAACCCACTGTGATAGCGAGGATAATCCTCTGTCCAGCCCTGAAACAACAAAAACACAAACTCAAAAGCAGGTATAAAGACCTATGGGTATAACAAGAAACACAGACATGTAGTGCTTTTTGAACCAACCAACTTGGATTCGCGTACATCTACCGATTGGCCACGCAGATAATAAGTTGCTAGTTTTGTCGTTGTTTCAACAACACTGAGCAGCAGTTCAGCAATGAAAACGACTCTGAAGAGTAATCTATTAGACAACAGTCCCTCATCTCCGTTCTCTAGCAGTCCATTATTCCTGTGTACTTGAATTTCAAAACATGCACCATATATAGTTGAACCAAGCACATGTACCTAGATTCTGGAAATCCGCTATGAAAAGATCACCCAGAAGAATCTTGATCCCCAGATGTAATCCAAGAAACAAACCTGAATCTTGCTTCCCTTTTTCGTCATAACAGACACAAAAGAACAACAAGGATTCGACAGGTGTACTCATCATTGTTGCCATCCGGAGACAAGCAAACAAAGCCACATTACGACATTTCCTGCATCCAAAACCAACCACCCCTTTCCCCCTCCCCCCCTCAAAAAAATAAACCCCGCACAAACAAGCGTAATCCCACTCACCTTTGCAACCCCCGCACCGCGCGACCTTCAACAAAACCCCGAGACGCCACTCCCTCGAACCCACGCCCCGAAAAAAAAAAGGAAACAGAAAAGAACAACAGGACGACAACAAGCCAAAAGAACTAGACTAATAAATCATTTTTACAAGCAAAACGACAACACGGCACTCCCACTCCCTCATCAGAAAAAATGGCAGTGGTGGTCAGTGCGGATACTGTACTATAAGTTATACTATCCGCACTGACCACCACTGCCATTTTTTCTGATGAGGGAGTGCTCCAACCAAGTCAAGGCGGCGGAAATAATCAGGTCATAGCGCGCTCGCGCGCGGGGGGTGCGTTATTGCGCTATTTAGCTCCACCGATTTAAACTGCAGCGAGGATAATTTTTCCGGCGGGAACGACGGAGAAGGAAGGTGTAGACGCGTGCGTATACGAGAATGTATATACTGTACATATGTATTTGACTAGTTAGTATTTCTTAGTTTGGACACACAGACAGACAGAAGCGTTACGCAAAAATGCAAAGAAACATTGATTTTTTTTGTGGGGCGAGAAATACCAGTAGTATACACGGGGTAAGAAAAATTTGTATATTTGAGAAAAGAAAGAAAGAAAGAAAGAAAGAAAGGGATAAGATGGATTTACAGATTTGGAAGGGCAAGGGAAAGTGAGGAGAAGGAAAAAAAAAAACAACAAGTCTTGAAATTGAAGTGAGAAAAGTGTTTGGACATTAAACTTTTGTTTCTTTCCAAGTTGGGATTAATTAGAGCCCTTCTTGTTCTTGTTCTTGTTCTATTTAAAAGGTTATTTTTACCCCATGTCAGGCCTTCTTTGCAGCCATCATTTGGCGATAAGCATCAATCATTTTCTGGCGCTCCTCGCCCAACTGCTCTCTCTTGCTCAGACTACCCGCGGAATTGGGTATGTTAGCCACTTTTGCACCGGCGCCATTCTTAACCTTGAAGATTTCTCTTGGAGTCTTTGTGAATGTTGGCGGGGCATGAACAATGTCGTTGAGACCCTTTCTCTCTTCTCGCTTCTTCTTGAGGGCCTCCCATTCGTCTTCGCTGTCGTGGGCGACTTCGCCGACCTTGAGCTTGCGCTTGCCCTTTTTGGCCTTCTTCTTCTTGCCGTCTACGGTGCGCTTTGTGGCGAGGTCGGCGGTGTGCTCTTCCCACATGGCATCCAGCTCGTCTTCTTCTTCCTCTGCTAGTTCTCTTCGCTCCATTTCCTTTTCGCGTAGTCTTGCTTCCTCTTCTCTCCATCCCTTTTGTAGACGCTTCAGTCTCCGCTCGTGCTTGGTGACGCGGTGGTCGGTTAGGCCGGCAATCTTCTTGCCAGATTTTGCGATGCCTGATAGCGGGAGGGCCTGATCTACACGGGCACGGAAGTCTGCCATGGACTCTCCGGGCTGGATCTTCAATGCGGGGGTTGTCTGTGTGGGCTGCTCGTCGGCCGTGGTGCTCTTTTCTTCTTTGGTTGTCGCCGACTGCTGCTGCTCCTTCTTCTGCTTCTTGGGCTTCACGGAGCCATCGTCAAGGCCTGAGCGCTTTTTCTGGCCGCCATTGGAAAAGGCCATGAGGCGCTGAAAGGCCTTGGGGGTGTCGTCTGCGCCATAGCCTTGGACCTGGGCTACTTTTCGCTTCTTGATCTTTGGGGCGCTGTTGAATGTGCGGGCCTTGCCGACAGCGAGAGGAGCGGCGTGGAGGGTGGGTGGGAGGTCGAATCTACGGCGCGCTGTTAGGGCTAGGGCGGTGACAGCAGTCGGACAGGTATGTGACGTACTGCGACTCGTCGTCTTCGGTGCGCCTGTGCTTGTGAGGCATGGTGGGCGGCGGTGGTGGTTGAGCTGGCGGTCGCAAAAAAGTTGGCGACACGGGGCAGGGATGGGTGAGAAAGAAGACGTGAACCCTGCGCCGCTTGGCAGGCTTAGCGATCGTTACGCGGCTTCAACCCCGCAGTGGGCTTGGGTTTGGACGTCTTGTCTGCACTGCACTGTCGTCCGAAATAAGGTGTGCAGTAGATTATTGCCTGTGGCTTGACGGGCAAATAGCACCGCCCGGACAATGTGGCTGACACGACACGGTGGCTCCGACGGCGCCGTACATACGCGGACATGGTTCCCATAGGCCTGCACGCTCGCATCCCCATGCCCAAAATGCCGCAGCCATACGCTCCATCCATGGTTTCGCAACTAGTGACATTATTTGGAACCTGTTGCGACCCCCTTCGGCCCGACTGCGTGTCCAGCACCAGTCTGACATGCACGCCCTCCTCAGCGACGCCGCCGTCTGGCACCCTCTGCGTACATAGTTACGGTACATGGACAGCGACGGCGTGTGCTCCGGTCCTGTCGACTCGCCGGGTAAGCGGGACAAAGGTGCTCTTCTGCTGCTATAACTATCGCCATGACCTGCCCAGCTGCATGCCCAAGCTGTCTGCAACTCTTGCTTCTACCCACCAATCACACGCCTGCAAGCGGTTGCGTGCCTGTCCTCGCTCTCAGACTGCACACCTCCTGCCCGTCCTCCCCACACTGGCTCCCTGTGCAGGTTGCACCCTGTTTCGCGCCTGGTTTGGCTGGCCGCACCCCGTTTCGCAATAAGAAGCTCCTGACATCCGTCCTGTTTCTTGCACTCGCACACACACACACCCCCCAAACCTCGTCTCGTTTGACTCGAGCCTACTGGCACCACCTGGGCGCCACCTGGCCACCGTCGACGGCCGTGGTTCCTGCATCTGGACGCGCCTCTTATCGACAAGTCGTGGACGTGCATTGCCCCGGTTTAAGTACTAGCAGCCTCAAACGCACAGTCGCCGCCATCAAACAGTCTGGACCTCGTAGCTGGACGTCTGCAGCGCCATTGCCCAGCTATCGAACAGGAAGGTGTCTTAAAACCTGCGTTTCTCTTCGCAGCCGCAAAGTCCTTTTAGACGCCCCTCGTCCCCTCGATTGCTGCTGCAGACCACTACGACGGCGAATAATCATCCAGGGCGCTGCATAGTCGCTTCCACTTGCATTTGCCCCACGCTCAGGGTCCAGTCGACAGATCTTGCGAGATCCCCGCTGCCAATTGGCTCGTGCCTGACATGGCTGCAACACCACGACCACTCACCACCCAGCCTCTCCTGCGCCACGCCTCTCCCAGCCCAGCCCCTTCCTTCGCCAAGGAGTCTGCACCGCCATATCCCCTGCATGGGCTCGAGGATGGGGATGCTGCCGAGTATAGCACTGATGAAGACGACGACGACGACAACAACAACTACACAATACCCCGACGACCGACTTTTTGGCAACGCCTGAGAATGAGCATCCGGAGACGGAATGGAAAGCGGCGCGCCAGTGATGACTTTGGCCTTGTGCGATTACCAGACGAAAAGAAGCAAGCCCTCAGATACCGGTTCCAAAAGAAGCATGCCATCAGAGCCTTTGCTGTCATCCCGTTATTGGTCATCATCTTCTTGTAAGTATCCGGCGTACCCGTCTCGCTTGACGACAGAGCCCCGCATTCCCTCGTGACCAAAGGCCCAACAAGCTGACCTTTGTAGCGGCGTCCTTCACATCGTCAATGTGCTACTAGGATATGTTCCTGTGTTCCTCGACGATCATGCATTGCCGGGCTTGGATTGGAATCAATACGACGAGGCGCAACGACTAGACATTACACGTGACGTAACGCCTGTACCGTGTCATTCACACAACGACTACTGGCGCCGGGTCCCACTATACGACGCCCTCCATTGGGGCTGCACTGGCGTCGAAGCCGACGTCTGGCTCTTTGACGATGAGCTGTTTGTTGGCCACAACACCAACGCTCTCACGCCGAACAACACCTTCCGGTCCATGTACGTCGATCCACTGACCAAAATGCTCGACCACAAGAACAACGTAGGCGACTTCGCATCCGCACCCACAACTAAGAACGGCGTCTTCGACACGGAACCCTCGCAAACCCTCGTCCTCCTCGTCGACTTCAAAAACGACGGCCACGCCATCTTCCCTGTAGTATCCAACCACCTTACTGCCCTCCGCGAAAAAGGCTACCTATCCTACTACAACGGCACATCCGTCGTCTCGGGCGCCATAACCGTCGTCGCCACCGGCAACGCCCCCTTTGACCTCATCACCGCAAACTCCACCTATCGCGACATCTTCTTCGACGCACCCCTCGACAAACTCGACAAGACATCCTCGTCTTCAGACACCATTATCCCCGACGGCCAAGGCACCGTCGGCACAACCCCAAACTCCCACTTTGACAGCACAAACTCTTACTACGCCTCTGTCAACTTTGGCTCCACAGTCGGTTGGCTCTGGTTCGGCCGCTTCTCTTCTGCCCAACTGGCCAAAATCCGCGACCAGATCCGCACAGCTGAGGAGCGCGGCCTCAAGTCCCGCTACTGGAGCGCCCCCAAGTGGCCCATTGGCCTGCGCAATCGTATCTGGAGAGTCCTCGTTGACGAGGGCGTTGGCTACCTCAACGGCGATGACCTCAAGGGCATGACTGAGTTGGATTGGGGCGTTAAGAAGCATTGGGGTGTCATGTGATGAAATCTTTGTCCATTCTGCATTGTGTTTTTTTTTTCTTCTTGAAGATACCCACTTCCCAATTATCTACGATTTTCCCTTTTTTTTTGTTTCGTCATGTAAAAAGGATTTTTTTTATTTAAAAAATGTCAATAGAGAGAGAGAGAGACAAAGAGAAAGAATAAGACGAATAGTTTTAGATGCAAATCTTTGATATTTCTTGCTCTCTTAAATACCCTTGCTTTTTTTTCTCTCTCTTCCTTTTTGTGCCCCCATCGTGACTTGGCGTTTTCTGTCTCCCGCTTTTTAGAGCCGTACATGGACAAGATTCCTTTTATACACACACATACACATGAGTATGGCATACGCCATGAGCGCCATAGAGTCTATATAAAGCGGTAACTTTCGATATAAACGTGTGACAAAAGCACACTGTGTGTGGGGAGTGGCGGGAGGGGGAGGAATTGAGAGTTTTTCAAAAAAAAAAAAAAAAAAAAAACTAAAAGAGCAACAAGAGGCTGTGTGGTTACATGTATTTCCTCTCTCTCTCATTGCCGCCACCCGTCATCATATCAAGCATGTTTCCCCCCCTTATCTTATTCCTCATTTCAAACCGTCAAGAGAAAAAAAAAAGAGCCAAGCTCTGCATCTTCAGGGGAACACAGAAGGTGAATGAAATCTCTAAAACATACTCCACCCCTTCTTCCTCCTCTCGCGATCGCCTCTCTCCTCCCTGCGACTCATCATGCGCTTCTCCCTCTGCTCCAGCTGACGTAGCCCCTCCATCTCCTTGAGTACGTGCTCGAGCAAGTCCTTGCGACGCACGACATCGAGATGGCGCTTAATCTTTGGGTCTTCCTTTGCGAAACGCTCGATTTCGTCGGGTGAGAGGCCGCGGCCGAGGCGGGCGTCGAGTTCGCGGGGGAACTAATAGTAAAGAAAAAGGTTAGATGAGTGGGGGGAAAGGAGGGGGGAAAGAAGGGGGGAAAGGAACGAGGAAGATGCTTACAATGTAGTAGAATTTCGAGAGCAGTTCGGCGTCGAGGAAAAGGTCGGCGGTTGTGGTTAGTTTGTCTGCAACGGCATCGAGGAAGACTTCTGGGCAGTGGTATTTGTTCTTCTTGCTGGCGCATTGTTTGCTCTTGATGGCTGTGAGGCGGAGTTTGAGCACGTCGATGCGGTCGCGGAGGAAGACTGCTTCACGGCCTGGTGGAATCGTCAGTATATCTGTGTTAATATGGGGAGACTTTAACGACGTACCCTTGGCTAGAAGTGCAGAGCTGAAGCCGCCGGCTCCACCAACACCATCGCCTTCCAAGACAACCTGGCCGCTTCGTACGCGGTCGATAAAGGTCATGACATCTCTGACTTTCTTGCGGCCGCCAACTTGGTCTTCGAGTTGCTTGACGGCTGCTTCTACAACCTTTAGCTCTTCTTTGAGCACCGCAGTTACGTTCTCACGACCCTTGGCCCATTCGCTGTCCTCGACTTCAATCCTGTATTTGTACGGTTTGATGCAAATCTCCAGCTCATCCGAAATATCATAAGAGAGGTCTTTCAGTATAGAATTTGATGCGTCCGTGATGGCTTGTCGGGCAAAGGGGTGCGCGGCGAAGCGTGAATTTGTAATGAGACGGTCAATGTGAGCTTGAAGTGCGCTTGCAACGACATTGGTCGCTAATCGTCCAACACCGAGCTTTGTCAGGGCGGCGCTGGAGCTGTCGAGCTTGATTCGCCAGATCTGGTCTTCTCCATCAATGTCTGCCTTTACAAGGTTGCTCAGAGGATCGGTTTCTGGGAATGGAACATTGAGGTCATCAAAAGGCCGGTTCCAGTAGCGTTGTGCAAGCAAGTTTAGTACTTGTTGATCTAGCTCGTGCTTGAGCAGGTCTCGAACTTGTTGACGACCAAACTGTTCTGTAAAGCCACGGAATGAGTGCTTGAATGCATCGAGTGATTCGGCCAGGTACGACTCGGCGCTGATAGGTCGTTCATTGTACTGCACCTTGTACTCGTACCTTGCCTCTTCAAGCTCTCTTTGAATAGCCTCGCTAGTCGTCTTAAGACTGCCGGCCATGGTTTGTTCCAGCACATGCATGAGCTTCTTCTTGAGGTTCTGAGTACCCACGGCGAGCTCTGGTCTTTCAGAGAACTCGGGGTGTGACGAAAAGTATGCATTCTCGTTCTTTGTGATGGCGTTGGAGATGTTGCCGTTGCCACGGCTGAAGAGCTTAGAGCCACCTGCACCAGGGGGTACACGACACACGACTCCAACGTATCCCAGACGGAGAGCGTACTTTTGGTCGTTCAGTAGGCTAGCGCCGCGGTCAGCATCTACAAGATCCATCTTTGTAATGACACCAATGGTCCTTTCACCACGGGGGTCCACTCTCCTAGATGCTCGCAGCGCGGTGCTGTTGGCCAGATCCACGTCGGCCGCCGAGATGGCGAGAATGACGTTGGGTGCCCTGATGTACTTGTCGCAAAGCTGGGCAATCTTCTCCTTAAGCTGCGGGGGCTGGTCCCGGCCAACAACCTGAATGTATCCTGGAAGGTCGATCAAGGAGAGATCCGGCACGTTTGGCGAGTAAATCCTGAGCTGAATGGGGTCGTCAGACACGCAGTCGCTGGCCGGTACGGCGAGATTAAGGTCTGTCAGCGTCTTCTGAACCTGGCCAAAGTCTGTCACCTTGCCTAATCCAATGGCGGGGAACTCGCAGTATTCTGCACGCGCATCAGGGGTATTGACAAGCGTCAACTCAATGGGTCGACGGGTAACCATGTTATGTCCCTTGGGGAGGAACTCATGACCAACGATAGCCTCGAGGACCGAACTCTTTCCAGAGGACTGCGATCCAATGACGACAATCGACGGCAGTGTGAGTGATTCGGATTGTCCCACAGTCTGCAACAGTCCACGTATCTCAATCATCTTCTTGGTGAGCATCATCATTTGCTCATCCCGTGCAATCTTTTCCCCGTTTTGTCTGTCCTCATCATCATCGTCTTCCTGTGAGTATCCAAAAGCAGCAGCAGCTGATGCACCGGCTGCGGTAGTGCCAAAGCCGCCCTGTTTGGGCTCCTCCGGACCTCTACCACCGCCATTGCCTCCTGCGCCTCCTGATTCATCTTTGGCGAGAAGCTTTTGTAGCCATTCCGGGTATTGTACATTTTCAAGTTCATCCTTGGTCGACTTGAACCCCTTTTCTATCTGATCGAAGAATCCATTTGCCGTATTAATTGCCCCGCCAGCCAACTCGGAGGCGCCATCTTTGGTGCGGTGGAAGAGGTCGAGTGCAAAGGTGCCCGCCTGGCCTGCCTGGTACTGGATATACGAGGCACCGGCGATGATAGCCCCTCCGGTGGCGGCACCTACAGTCGCAAACTTTCCCACGAGTTTAGGTATCACTCTTGCAAAAGATATCGATCGCGTGGCGGGGACATTGTGCAATGCGTAGCTACCGAGGGGCCATGGCCGGCGCTTCACAAGCCTGAGCGCGGCTTCATTTCGCAACAGTCCGCCGGCAGGGAGCGAATGTGTAGTGTAGAAGCGTGGAGTGAGGAGCGGTGAACGGCGTGCGAGGGGGGCAAGGCGGCCCGCAACGAGCCTGCCGCTCATGTTTGCGACGACGAGAGAGCGAGGATAGGGATTTGGTGTAGCATAGGACCTGGTGTCTTGCTATCACACGCGGTTGGCAACGTTGCACGCTTTCGAAGAGGCTGCCATGCACGTCACACTCGACTTTCGGTGCGCTGAGCAAAGGTGCTCGGGCCATACGCCCGCGTGGGGCAGCTCCAGGGCTCCCCTCCACTCGTCTCGCCAACTCAAGACGGACAACACATGGACTAGACAGCGCAACATGTCGGCTGGATGGCTTCTGCTATCTGACTGCTGCCTAGTTGTCCATCCCTCATGCACGTCTCACTTCAAGCACAGCAACGCTCTCTCCCCAAAGAGCCTCGGCACCGACTTCTCTTCCTTGATCATGTCCCTCAACCAATTCCTTGACCCCTCGACCTCCCTGCTTGCAAACTTGACCAGCACAAAGCCCCTGACATTTGCTGCACTCCATACCAGACCATCCGCCTTTTCTCTCTGCTGCCTTGTATATCGCCTTTGCTCGTATGGCAGGAGTTCGGGCTGCACGCTGTCCCCCCAATTCCTACCGCCAATACGCGGTAGTGCCTCGAATTCGTCCAAGAAGAACCTGGAGAGTGACGAGAAAACTGATCCGTGAACAATCACAGTGCCAAAGACAGAGTAATTGTCCATGCGTGAGGCGAGTGGCATCCCAGTTCTACCATGTTTGTCTAGAATCAGGTTATCCCGTACAAGAAGCCTCTTCTTCCCTGCCTCGTCGAGCGTCCACACTTCATTCCGGCTCTTGTACTCGAAAATGTCCCAATTCTCGCCCCGTGCAGACCGACCGCTCGTGACCCAGTCGCACACACAAATATTGCCTTGGCCTTTGTCGAGATGATAGATCTGGGATTGGGAAAAAGCTGTGTGGGCAAATGGCTGGACCGGGTCTGGAAGATAGACCAAGGCAGCATCGTGTTTGAGATGCACCGTCATGTTTTGTCGCGACACTAGCTCTGGGCTGGGTGTCTTGAAGATCTTGGTCGAGCCTTGGGTTAACAGGATGAGCCGAGCCTTGTTATCCAATCTGACCTCCAGGTCGATACTGTCCCCGGCGACAATGCCACCGCCGTAAGTGAGTAGGAAGACTGTGTGTATCAGATCTGAAATTGGAGGCCCAGTCTTGTTGTTTCCCTGGTCGTCATGGCTTGGTGGTGGCAGAGGGTCTGGTGCAACTAGCTTGAGTGGATATTGGTACGAGACCGTCCCAAGGACTGGCTTGTCTTGGGACAATAAATTGATGATGATAGATCCATAACCAGGCTTAGAGGTAGAGGGGCCAAAAGGTGAGTTGAAGACCATGGCGCGTTGCTAGCAGAGTTCAAAATGTACCATCATCACTCTCATATGGTTGCGAGAAATGAACTGCACACCCACGCTCTCAAGTAACTAGAGCTCTACCTGAAGTAAAACTCGAGTACCGCTTGCTTTCAGTTTTTCTTCACCTCTTTTTAGCTAGAGTCACTCCAGTAGGTGAAAAGTGGGCGTAAAGTAGTGATGTTCTATCCGTTCTATCCGTGGGGCAGTGACAAGCTAGGTTTAAGATACTGTATCGATTACATCACGTGAAGCATCACGTGAGTACCTCTCTGACATCCAGAATCCCCTAGCACATTTGTTTTTTTGAGGATGTGTGTTTCTACAAAAGTCATTCGAGTATATACAACCATCATATAGCTCACTTGTTCGATTCACAACATTTCGAATCATTGCTAACAGCATATCTGCTCAGGTCGCTGTCTGGAAACAGCATTCAAGTTCATGCCGAGGCCAAACCGTGCTGGTGGTTACCAACCGTGCCATATCAGAATCTTTACAGTTTCCAGCAGTCATACAACGTGCTGTGGCACAACAAGACGTAGTAGGGGTTGAAAATTTGCTCTTGGTACATACCGTCACTGACTGCAGCTTCACTACTGTGGATACAGCACAGCATGATGCACTCGGTATCGAGTACGTTCGTGTCATTATGTGTCTTTTTATTCATGTTGGCATCTTCCAGAATGGTATTGCTGATATTTACCCAGAGTAAACGCCAAATCGAAGAGTATTTATCGACGGGATAGTCATTGGACTTCGTAATGTAAGGGATGGGTTTGGAGAAGAAGGTGAGCAGGCAAAGAGATAACTCTCAAGTAAGCAATATTTGCAGATATCGATGAAATTGCTCTATAAATGCCCTCGACTTGCATCGCAAGGACATGCGGAAAGTCAAGGTAATGTGAATGTATTAAACTTCTAGTGATAGTACAGTGTATGCAGCAATTTCCACAGGCATCGACCACCCAGCCAAACCTGGCATACATATATTACATCGTCTCGAATGCCTATCCACGGGGGCATAAACTAGTCTTGAAGTTCTTGCCTCTCTTTGGTCTACAACGGCCATACTTCTTGACTTGTTGCTGTGGCTCATTGGCTCTCGTTATACTAGCCCTGAGGCCTGACGGAGGCGCTCCACCCACTGGCGCGCCTGTGGAAGGAGTAATCCTCCTCGGTGGCACCAAACCAGGTATAGTTCTTCGCTTGAGCGTACCACGCGATGCCTCGGTAAAGGTTTGCTCCCACTCTGCAGTTAAAGGGTCACACATGTTCGGGTCTTGTGTTTGTGGGAGACACAATTGGTGCTCCTTGGTGACACCGCAGACGGTCGCGTATACTTTTTCGCATCGCTGGACACGGGGAAATTGACAGGAATTACCGGACCCGCAGTAGCCGATGGTGTAGCTCTGTGCAGCCTTTACGATGTTTTGTGGACCGCCTGACTCACTGAGGTTCTCATCGTCTACTGCAGTGTCAGGCTGGACGGTTTCGAGACTGAGTGGAGGTGGTGCGGCTGCGGCAGGTTCTGGCGCAGTCTTGTTTGAGCTCGAAAAGCCTGTGGATCCTGAGACGCACTTTGACGAGTCGTCAAAGATGGCTGTAACAGCATCAGACCACAAGCGGGTGTAGTTGAACACATTTGCTAGAGTGTAGAAGATGCGGCAATCGGCGGGTTCGTATTTGAATTGGAGCGGCTCTGTATCGTTAGGTCGGACCTGGTCCCTGAGGTTGACACCAAGGGCTGCTGTGAAGACACCGGAATCTCGGTAGTTATTTTCGGTGAGTTGAGGAACCGTGGCCAATGTTGCGTTGTCGACATTGAGCAAAGGGTTTGAGATGATACCGATGTCATAGTCGATCTGATCGCCGGAGTAAACTGCAGCACCGCGATTTCCTAAGCAATGTGCGTCAGTGGTGATATATTGGCACATTCCAGCACTCCTGAACATACCTCCTACAGCCTGCATGGGACCTGTGGCTGGACGTCCACCGACTGCAATAGTTCGAACGCCGACCTGCTTGAACATCTCGACCAGAAGAGCGCATGTGGATGAACAAGCTCCATCTGTCAACTAATACTTGTCAGCCTTAGGAATTGATCATGATCCATAACACTTACTATGACAATATTCTCAGCCGCGAATGGTGGAGTGTTGTAGCCCAGGGGATTCTCAGGAGCATAACCCAGTGGCACCCAGCCTTCGAACAAGGCTGAAGTGAATGCGGAGTTCGAAAGATTGTAGCGCTCCTAGCCTCTGTTAGATCTACATATTGCGTAAGACTTGACTGGCAACGTACTGTGAGTGAGAAGGAATCGCCCTTTTCCAGCACGGGTCCTGTGTATTCAGCCCAGCTAGTGAAGTTTTGGCCCGTTGCAGCGTTGAGTCTGGGCGTAACCACAAATTCATCAGCCAGAAAGTCGTCATAATCAGGATCGCTAGGGTTAAGACTATTGAAGTACGATTCGTATACTTCGCCGATAATGCCACCAAGATGTTGATTTCGGCGCCTGCTTCCTGCATAAGGATCCACGTCCGGAAAAAATCTCTTGAACATGCTAAAGGCAAGTTCCACGGTACCACCGGTGTTCTGCTGGAGGTCTATCACAACTCTCTTCAAGCCCTGTTCGGTTGTATTGCTGATGAATTCTGATACAGCGCCACTGAAGTCCCCGATGGAGTCAGAGTATTGTGCAAACGAAGGGATGCTGAGTGTCGCAGCATTGACCTGTGGTAGGAAGTAGCCGGAAACAACGCCATCGGTACGAACTGAGAGACCCAACTGTCGAACATCAGGATCGGGATATGCCCCGTTGGATATAGTCTTCCAAGACTCCTGAGGTGCAGGCTCGACAACAGGTTCAGTCGTGTTCACGGGCTGTTCACCGGGATCATATGCTGGATTGTAAAAGCTTCCGTTCGTGTCATACGAGTCGGGCAAAAAGTTCAGAACGAAGTAGTTGTAGAGATCTCCACCAGTTGTGAGTGGGCCTGTCCTGTACGGCTCCATCCAGAGCGCAAGCCAGTAATCAATGTAGTCGGTTCCGTTCTCCATGACCAGCTCAATCTCGTCTCCTGGATAGTAGCGTACGCCACTGTCCCAGATACCACCGGATCCCTGGATGGCCAGGGCAGGTGTGTAGAACACTTGGTTCCAGTCGGCATTTGGCTCTATACCACCAACGGCATTGATACTTGCCAACTTTGTGACGTACTCGACAGCATCCACATTATTGATTTTGCTGATTGCAGAAGGCGTCCAGCCTTCGTCTCGGCTCTTTACTAGGTCGTTTGTGATGTAAAGCTTCGGTAGACTTGCCCCGTCTGGTGAGGCAGCGGTTATGGAATATGGCGCGAGGAAGGAGAAAGCCGCCATGATACCGCCCCTCTGATACAAGTGGCCATCATGAGCGCTATCCAGCAAATGCTGTACGTCAACCTCGAATTGATATTGGTTCTTGTAGACTTGCGCCGTGATATTGTTCTGAATTTGTGTCAATCCTGACAGGATATCCACAGCGGGCTGCTGATATCCAGCTGGAGGATCCCGCAGATATGCAAGAGTGCTTTGAAACTGCACAGTGTCGTTGATGTACGTGATGAAGCGAGTGGCAACAGCAGGGTTGAAAGGTACACTGGTCAGACAAAGGTATGCATCGTATGCATAGTGATAAGCGAATCCCTGATTGACGCTGTCGATGATATAGCCGCAATAACTCTCTTCTGGGTTTGCGGTATCTTCCTGGCGGACACGAAGCTTATTGTAAGGACTGTTGGGCGTCGATATCGATAGGGCGTCTGAGAGATGTACACTGCTCAACACCGCTGCCGAGAGGGCTGATGTTCGGAACAGCATCTTGAAGGTGGCGATGGCAAGTTGTCTGGGACGGGGTCGTCAAGTTCAATGCGAGAAAGGGGTCATATGTAATAAGGCTGCATGCTCGCCCGAGTACGTCTGTTGCTCCACAGTCTTACTGCAGCACATTGAAAAAGCCACGCTGAAAAGGCCATATGCAGGGGACCATGCCATAGAAAAATTATTTTTGGGGCGGTTAGGCAGCTGCGTGGACTGCCTGAGAGGTTGCTACGTGACAAGGCGTACCAACCGTTGCCTAGATGGGCATGTAGGATTCACGAGGTCAATGCAGACTAGGGTGACACAAGCCCATCGGTGTGTGTAAATTTGCTCCTAGAGTCTTACACGACCGGTCAATCTTCCCCGTCAGCTCAATACCTGCCTCTGAAGGTGAGGTTGGCCCCCAAACTTGGCCCCCAAACTTGGCAGCCAAGATGGTTCTAACAGGGGTTCCACAGCGCTAGCCTTCCCGCTTCTAGGTACGCGCCATCTATGGGAAATCGACATTATGCAGTCAGCCTGATTGAGGCTGAACATCACTTGACCTACCACGACTCGGTCACACTCACTGCGAGAGGCACACGTGCATTTGCACAGTAGATTTGGCTTCTCGAGACGCGGTCTTGTCAAGGTCAATAGGGCCCGAGCCGTGGAGCTTCACTCGTCGAAACACCATGTTCGCTATTGGGCAGGCCACAAGTGAAGATGATGGCGACGTCTTTGCACGAGACATGGTCGTACACACAGCGATCCAAGAGTCTTTTCCTATCACGTCCGACATCTACGAACAACTATTTGATAGTCTACTTGGCAGCGAGCTCTTTACCGAGTGGCTACAGTGTAAAGACCACTGGCAACTCCATGTTGTTGGCGGGCCGGGAGCCGGAAAGGTCAGTCTCTGTCTAGAGCGCTGGTGAGAATGCTCATGGCATAGTCAGACAACGTTCGCAGCACTGGTGGCCAAACGCTTGAGAGAAGTCATATCGGCGTCGGAAGAGCAGACCTGCCAGCTTGCCAACATCTTCATCAACCATCACAGAATCGAGCATGAACTCGCCTTTTTAGAGGATCTCTTGAATACCATATACAACCAAGTATCGCCCCCTAGCTGCGATGTCGATCCTGCGACAGATTTGGCGTACGGAGCATATAAGGAATTGCTGCGCACAGGGCAGAGAGCCTCGAAACGGATCGACTCCATTGCACAAGCACTCCGCTTAAGGACTGCGGAGTTGGCCAAAAAGGGAGACGTGGTGCTCATCATTGATCATCTAGAACAGTGCAGTCCAGCGCTACGGGAACTGGTACAGCAGCAGTTCAATATCCTGCAAGATGAGGGACTGAAGATACTTGTCACGTCACGATTACCCAGGCATGAACCAGCAGTGTCCGTTTGGTGTGATTATCACCCGGAAGACTTACCTCTCAAAGTTTTTTGGCGCTGCTCTAAATGTCAGCAAACGGATATTTGCATTACTTGCAAGAGGGAAGACACTCCTTGTCAGCAGTGGTAAGTACAGTTCGGCCTAGCAAATTTTCAGGTGCTATGTGAGCCATGACGATAACACTATCTAACTCCATAATCAGCGATTCGGTAGGCACTTGGAAGGCCGCAGAGTATTACACTCTGACGCTCGATGGTATGTCCGACGATGCCATGGTAGAGTACCTAGCATGGGATCTCGAAAGGGAGCATGGTGATCTAGGGTTCATGACCTTGGAGGACCCATCGGAACCTCCGTTATCGTCGTTCGGGCTCGCCTTTAGAAATACCATGCACGGCAACAAAGGTCTTGAATGGATACAAGCAATCGCGCGTTATGTTGACGGAAGCATTCTGCAAGCAAAGCTTGCCGTTGACAGAATTCACAGCCTGCCTTCCCCCGAGGCCCTCGATCTTATGCCAAAACGTATACCGAGAAATGTCCAAGCTCACTTCAACACCGCGATCAAGACGATCAAGCAGCAATCGACTAATAGCAGTTCGGTAGCTCTCAAGACTATCGCAGCAGTGGGTCGGAAAGGAGACGCGATTCGAGGCTTGCCCCTATCCCGCCTTGCCAACCTACTGCGAGAGCGACCTCGCAATCCACGCATGAGCACAATGCCACCTCGCAGTCCAGAAGACGTATTGGAGTCCGCGAACGGATACCTCAACATTATTCCCCCGCCATTTCTCGGTCGAGAACCCACCATTGCAGCGTGTCACCGCCTTTTCTGGTTTTTTGTCAACGACGAATACAATGAGGACTTGATTTGGGCGTATGCACAATTGCCGACGTCCAAGGTCCCTAAGTCGCATACATTTCAATCACCGTTACCTCGGCAGTTGTCAGCTTTCCAATTACCAGTATCAAGCTCCAGGCGCGAGTCATCCGATTCTATCAAGGGACTGGGACTGGTCTTTTCTCCATCGCCAATGATCTCACCGCCGGAAGAGTCGGCTCTGGACTCTCACTAGACAGAGTGGATTTGTTCAAAATTGTGTAGAGTAGGAGTCATTGTGAGCAACTGTAGATCTAGAAATCTAGCTGATTTCCATTGCATGGCTTAGAGATGAACATAGTCAGACCCTGTTCATGACAACTAACCGGGTGGAAATTGCGATATGTAATCCTCTATCTCACTCTAGGTAAAAGTTCTTGCAAGGAGTTGTGTCCGTCTCCATGATCGAGCCTTGTAAACTGCTGCTCATTATCTGAAGGCGTTGCCAAGTCTTGTAGCTCAGATGGCGAATGTCAAGGGCACCGGTCCGCCGAAAGCACCAGGGCTCCTCTGCCTCTTGTAATAAGATCCCCTGACCTTCAAACCAAACTTCTTCCGCCACAGAGTCTGTTTCGGCCTTGTTGGACCGTTCTGTCAATGCAAGCACAACAAAAATCGTTTCGTGGTTGTCCAAGCTCGAGACAAGATCGGGAAACGCCTCGATCTCATCGGTCTTGTCGAATGCGTGAGGAATCTCCAAAGACCATGAGCGGGGTTGATTTTGGCTCAGGCAGCCTACGTGTAGGAAGCCTTGCATCGTAATTTTATTGGTTCTCAAGGTTGGCTCTTTTTCACGCCGTTCATCAGACAATGTCTGCGAATTTTGCTGTGCATTGGAAGATTGCATTCCTTGTCTCGAATTAGGTATACGAGGCGTGTGTTCCATTCGTAGCGGCGATGAAGTCCTTGACCTAAGCAGAGGGCGAGGGGTTTGAGCGTCGTCAAAAGATCCAAATACGTCTGGCTCCGAGCCCGTACGTGTCGTCGTACTTGAATGACGCCGCCTCTCGTTTGACAAGTCCAATTCTCTTGTCATATCGCTAGCGCTTCCCGAACTTCTTGTTGGCAGTTTTGGTCGAATTCCTTGCTCGCCAATGTCAAACCAGATCCTATCGCCGGCGTGATCTCGAATAATGTAGCTTCTTTGCCACCGAGCCGATCTGCTCGGGATCAATATCGCCCCTTGCACAGAAGTCCAAGACCAGGTTGGGTTTATGTTTAGTTCCGAAGGCCGCTTGCTGGTTGTGCAGTCTACAACTCTCCAAGCTAACTGCTCCTCAAGAGCTCCCTCCCACATCCCGGCAACGTACTCTTCGCTTTGCATTTCTCGAAGCCGTTTTACCACACCCCAAATTGCCATGCGTTTGTCGGTCTGCTTAGTGAGGTCAAGACTCGTGTAATCTCTGACCGTCGATCTCCATAGGTCATCGAGCGAGTCGTCATTGACCCCAGAAAGCAGTCTCGTACCTCTTGTGCTTTCCTGTAGACGCCCACGCCAATGGCGATCCCTTGCCGACTGTTGGTCTAAAGGCAGAGGCAACCCAGCTGGAAGAGTTTCACAAGCGCTCATCTCGGTACAATCCCAGAAGATCTGATGTTTGCTGAAATGCAAGATCCTGGGTGCAAGCATGCGCTCTGAGGACTGTTAGGCAAGCGTGCAGAGTTTCTCAGAGACACTGACCTTGATAAACCCAACCGCGTTTGTACAATGGTTTCTCAAGAAGGCCTTGATCCCACAGATCGCCACGTAAAACTACCCACCGTCGCTTACCCAGGATATGAGACGCGTCATCGAGGTCCAGAGTAGCTGGTAGGACGTCCCGCGCCTCTCTTTGGCGAAAGACGCCTCCAGCACCGTCCTCCGAATCAGCAGCAGCGATGTTGCAGAATGAGTTTCTGTATACTTGTTCCATCCGAGAGCCTTCGTGCTTCCAATCGTCAGCGTCTCCTTGCTATACAGTCGTCAGCACGGCCTATCAGGAAGAATGACAATACTACCATGATGCAGACTGAATCAACAATGGCAACGTCAGCTTCCGCTACCCCTTTGGCGTTACAATGAGAGCTTACGAGAATCAATCCAGATGTAGTCAACTTCAAGGAACCACGCCACCTCAATAGCCTGCTTGAAAGTGTTGGATAATTTACGCCACGGCAGACCGACAAGCATGAACTCTTCGAGAGTACTAGAGTTAAGAGTTACTAAAGGAGCTTTACCCCAACAGTGACTTAGGGTGACGTAAGGTCCCTGGACATTGTTAAGCTTGGTATTAACTACCCGCAGGCGATCCCCTGCACGGTGGCCGCCAATGTGTAGTAGTCGTGTGGGGATAAACTTGCTCGCCGATCCAGCGCGCTTAGGACAGTATTTGTGTCCAATACCACAGGTCCTAATCCAGTCCTTGATCTGCTGCCCACCATTGAACGCAGGATTTGTGCTCGTGCCTAGCTCAGCGGCAGACAATAACCCATCAACCTCTTCTTCAAGGAAACAGTAGAAATCTCGTTCCGGTATTCCAAAGGTTCGTGGCTTTCCCTCATGGTGTTCGTTGGTCTCATCATGGAGTTGCCTTGGTACAATTCGAAAAGTGATTACTACTTCGTTTTTAGTCTCTCGGGTACGTCCCAAGCTACGAATACTCCATCGGTGTAAAGATACGACCGAACCCTGGCCTAGCTGTAGTTCGTCGACTCTTGCCACGTCCTCGTGCAGAAAGCGCTTTAAGCTGGCGTTCTGGTGCTCATGTCTGTGCAGGAGCGAGCGATGCATTAGAACATCGTCATGCAGAAGACTACAGAACGTGCAGCCTCGGCGAGCAGAGCTCGCTAGGGACGATGCGCTTGGGTGGTGATAGCCCCATGATTTCTTCGCTCTCAAAACGTTCACGTAGCAGAAGTCGCAGAAACCAGGTGTGTATGCCATTCTTGGAGTCCACCATTCGAATCAAATGAAGAGTTATGGCGATGCGTGAAAGGTGCGCAGGGAACGAGCTCCCGCTCAGGATTACCAATACGTAGGTACCGCGATTCAGAGCCTTGCCGACGTTGCTCCCGCTGGAGTACTTAGGGTTGCAATCTGTTTATCTCGGGTGTCCAAATACGTATTTTAAGGCCAGCTTTAATCTAAAATATCCAAGACATGAGCAGGGGGTGTTAGTGGACGTTTTAACATAGTTCGTGGCGCCTGCCGCGGCTTTGACTGCTGAGATGAGTGCAGTCGGCCCCCACGCTACTACTGAAGCGCTTGTTAGCTCGGCTTCAACATACGCCACCGACACTCACTAGTGCGACGTTATGTCGTGATTTGTGCGAGCATTTCAGAAAATCGCAAAAGATTCATCTTTATCAACCTTATTTGCTTGTATTTGTAGGCGAGGGTTTCTCATGGCTACAGCAAACAGCAATGGGACAGTAACTTGTAGAAAGCATGCAAGAGACAGTAAACAAGACACTGTTAACGGGTATATATTGCCTTCCATGCTTTGCTCAAATTACTGTATGATTCTATAATGATATTAAACACATTTTTTTATACAACTATAGAATATTAAAAAAAAGTCTTCCCACCTGCTCTGCCTCGAAGTAATCATCTAATTTCGAATATCTACTGTTTGCTGGTTGTGTATCGGTAGTTTTTCAGTAGCCACTGGGAGTCTGGTACTATCCATAATCCCCAAGTAGGGAGGAGTCGTCATAACGTCGATCTTACGGGTGCGTCGCACTTCAACGGCATTCTTGCCAAGGTATCGCTCTGAGCGGAAGCTAAAATATAGGCGGACAAAATTTTAGCGGATGCTTGACTTCTAGAGTATTCTCATGTTACATAATCGAACACAAGAAATTACGCACCTCCAGCTGATGTTGGCCTGGACAACATTCTGAATGCCATCAATGTACCGGCGGACCTCACCGTCGATATCTGCACCCCAACTAGGCAGATTTTGAATGGCTTGATCCCATTGAATGTAACGCTGCACAAGCAGGGAATCCAATATATCGAAAGCTTCTTGTGCTGAGTGCCCGGCTAACCGACAGGCAGCGGTCATGTTGAAAGGACATCCCTCGCACTATGCAATTAAAAGGTCAGGTTAGTGTCTTGATGACTTATACATGTATCTTTAGGCCAGGGCTTACCTCTTCTTTGCGGTAAGAGAGTATGTCATTGGATCTGGTGCGCATATGATTAGTGACCTAGAATGACATGGAAGAACAATCGAAGCGGCGTACAGAATGACGAAGTCAGCACCAAGGCGCTCTAGTGTTTGAATCACGGGATGCTCGAAGACCTCGTCTGGAAGCACAATCTCATGTGCATACTCAACGAGATGGTAGAGTGGCGCGACGCCAACCGATAGCTGCCGTGTTGATAGCATCTCCTCTAAGGACGGGATGTGATTGGTAGTGAAGTGCCCGACGTGGTGCGCTACACCTAGCGTGTAGTGCTGCATAGCACGAACAAATCGTCTCTGAGTACCGTAGGAGGAGCCTTTTTCAAACCGGTTGTAGATGTCATCATGTGCCTTAACGATAGGAAGCTTGTATCCGATGAAGGGATTGCCCGTCATGTTGGCCATGAGGCTATCGAGAACACGTTCAGAAGTTGAAAGGTCGGTCCTTAGCTCGCCTGAGTCGAATACTGTGGTATTGTCCACCGTCAGTGAGAAAAGAGCTCATACCTGAAATATACTAAATTGTTATAAGTGTTGGAATGAAAGCTTACAGTCATCGAACGGAAAGACCCAATTTCCCCAATCGCATGCAGTCTTCAGCCTGTCTGGAGGCGCATCTGGTGCCGCGATGGAGATGAAAAAGGAGAAATCGCAGGCGTTGACCTTTTTGCTCATACTAGGAGCAAAGTCGCATGTTCTGATCGGTGCGGTTAGGGCGCAATGTTGGATCCAGGTATCTGACAACCGAAATTACTGACTTTGCAAGCCATTGCTCCGACTCAAGTTTAGCAGCTTGGTAACCTTTGTTAAACCTAGGTTCTTGGGTCAAGAAACACTTGTATAAGTCGGGGATGGTAACTATGGTTCTCTCCTCCATGGTTGCAGTTATGATATGAACTGATGTAGCGCGATAGCAATAAATGAAGGTTCGTAATATACCTAGAATATCGAATGTACCGAGAGTCGAGCGAGAAGTATAAGTCAAGATAAACTGACATGGAAAGAGACAAGTGTATAAAGCAGCTAGCTTGAGTCAACAGCCAAATCGATCGGACTGAAGAACGACTAACACGCTGAATTGTGAAAATATGATAGAATCGGTAGCGTATCCCGCAGTAGAGTTAACGAGTCAAGATTTCCATTAGTGGTTTACTTCAGTGTAAGCACTTATGCACAGTGATCTCGAACTGTACAGCAAAATGGTAAAACTCACGTAATTTCCAAGCCTACAGGTATCAACTAGTACAATTGGTGTGTCGATCTATATAAACGTAGTCTCAGATAGGGATGTATTTTGGCCAAGAAGCGGTACCTAGTCAAATCAAGATAGTACTATGAACACGAGATTTTAGGAGAAGTAAGGCTCCCACCCCCACCACACCAAAAATGGCACACTCTCGCTGCACTATCCCTTTATGAGAACATTCCATTTTTGGGTGTGGAGGGGGTGGGTGCCTTAATTCTTGGCGAAATTATCACAAAACCTCAATGCATACTGCTAGTGTCTTGTATCTAGACAATCGAGGACCCCTTGATATATTCCATCGGAGTCATCGCAAAGTGTGAATCTCGTTGACTAGTTTCCTACACAAATTTTCCAGCTTTGCTTCCGACTTTTACTTGCTCCTTCCCCTTGGATGCTAGTGTGCGTTTTAGTATAGCAGCGCATTCGAACGAGTGATGGTGGTACACGTATGCTAGAAACACACGAACACCAGCTTCAAATATTCGGGTACAATCATTCAACCGCATTCAGGAGAAATATGGCCAGCCGTAAAGATCCTAAGGCTATGGCAGAGGACATCCGAATGGTTGGAAACTATTCTTTTCACTGGACAAAAGAACACATTCCAAAGGAAAAAACTGATCCCCTTCGCTTCGAGCATGATGAGCTGGGTGCCGCCACTGTCAACATCATCCAAAAGATCCACCAGCGTGAACAGGAAGCCCAAAAGCAACGGGGAGAACAGATAGAAAAACTTGACATGTTTGCGACACTCAAAGCCAACCGGCATTATGATAAGACACTCGAGGAATTCTGGAAACAGGTCAACACAGTGCCCGATTGGGTCAACTGGGAGCAGCTTGAACGTGGGCAGCGCTTTTTCTATCGCTACGCATTGGGAAACATCATTGGCTTCGCTCTCCAGGGATTTGTTGGTGAGAATTCGGCTTCAACAAGTGTGGTTGAGGTGCTGCTACGAACAGGGGGCTTCAGTACGCGATCGTTACGGAGGCGGCTACTGGAGACGTTCCAGCTCGTGCTCGAGGTGACACATTCATTGGATTTCATCAAACCCGGCGGCAAAGGCCACGAGACTACAGTACGTGTGCGTTTGTTGCACTCGATGGTCCAACAGCGTATGCTGCGTGTGGCTGAGGTCAAAGGCCCCTCTTACTACGACACCAGCATCCACGGCGTACCCATGAACACGCTTGACTCGATCCATGCCCTCGCCACTTTCAGTTGTAACCACGCTTGGCAGCAGCTACCGCACATGGGCCTCCGCCCACCTCAACAAGAGGTCGACGACTACATTGCGCTTTGGAGATATGTCGGTCACGTCATCGGCGCCCCAACCGACTTCTTTGCAACAACATCTCAGGCCAAGGCCATCATGGAGTCTCTGAGCTACAACGAGCTGCATATTACGCCATCATCACTCATCGTCGGACACAACTTCGTCGAGGCCCTCAAAGACCTTCCGCCCATCAACATATCAGCTGGCTTCATCCAAGCCGGCAGCCGCCGCCTCAACGGAGATGACATCTGTGATCAGCTGGGCATGGGCCACCCAGGTTGGTATCATTACGCTTGTTTCAAAGGTCACTGCTGGCTTGTAGTTGCTCTTGCGACTGCCCAGCGCTGGATCCCCTCGTTTGAGGCTTGGTCGATCCAGTTTTGCCGCGAGATCTTGCACAACGCCATTATTCACTCCAAGTATGGTCTCAAGGGTGGCTCTTTGCTCGATTTCAAGTACGTTCCGAATGGTCAGATCACGGGGTGTGAGAAGAACGATCGCCTCGACGGTGATCGTATGTGGTTTTACCAACGCCCACTTGAGCTGCTCTACTTTATCGTTTTCTGTGCTAGATGCCTCTTCATGATTGGCAGCGCAGTCATCGCGACTTATCTTTTGCGGGGCTTTGTGCCATATATTGTGGCTCTTCTAGGCTTGAAATGAGATCCGTGAGCGAAAGTGAACCACCACCGACGAAGCCTATTATAATGTATGCTTAATTCTATAGCTTTCACTATGCTATGGATGCTACTATGGACTTCCCTCACAGCAATTACTGCCTATGTGTTATTTAATACTTGTACTGGGCGCGTTTGCCCGGCGGTACCAATGTTGTATAATGGTTTAAAGAGCAGTCTCTTTTTAGCAGATCTTAGACCTTGGTTAAAGAGGCTTGGCATTCACAGAAGGAGTGTCGAATTGTGCTTCAGCTAGTAGTTTACATGCTGGAGAACCGAAGCTTAGCTAGGAAACGCCTAATCGAAACGACGGAGTGTACCTACTTCTAACATCTTGTGCTCCCAAGAGGATCGATACTTTCTCACACAATCGACAGTTATTTGCGTTACTCTAACACAACCACTTCCTTGCTCGCCCCTGCTTCTCTCCATGCATATTTGTAAATCTTACCAAGACCTATGCGCTCCATGAACTTTACCTTACCTCTTACTCTTACTGTCTTTACAAGGATGATGTTGTAGAGTGGATAGCCAAGAACATCTGGCCTTGTCTCGTTACCCAAGTACTGCGCTTCCGACAATAGGATTGCGGTCACGTAATTTGGGTGTTTTGCGCTATAACCGGTATCGAACTTTACGGTACCGACTCTAGGATGCGTTGCGGTGTTGATCCAGTGCTCTCGAGACACGACTGTGTTGATATGTAGATCTGGTTGGTCTACCTCCTCCTCAGCTTTCGATGCTGTTTCGGTGGGTTCAGTGTCATGAAAATTGATGATGCAGTGCTCATCACCAGCGCGTTTGGTCAATGTCCGGACTTTCCAGCAATCGCTACCTAATTCTAGGTTCGCCAACTCCGTGTGTACGATAAGATGCTGCTCTTCAAACGCGTGAAGTGGTATATCTAGTCTCGGCTTTGGTGCTGGTCTAGCGTCTGCTGAGTCCCAATCTCTGAATCCTCTAGTACTCATGTTCAACATGCCGAAGAGCCCCAGTTCCTGCAAGGAGAAACGGTTAAGTCTTTCTTGGACACTGTAAAATATGCCTTTGCGAGGACGAATGCGCTCTTCACCGCACCTGCGGTACCGTTGAACGATGCCGGAGTTCAAGACCAAGACATCAAAGGGTTGTTCATAACGAACTCGTGCGCCTTTACTTCCAGATTCCAATGGGTTCTGTGCAGCTTCCCAGCCCGCCCATGTCCAGCTTGGCGGACGTTTTCTGTTGAAGTCACCTTGGCGGCGGCGCATAGGCTCATCTGATTGCCATAAGAGTGCAACATCCAGGAAGTGAGATGGCAATCCGTTTCGGAACGGTGAGTTGAGAAACCCTGAGCCACCAAGAATGTTTGCGAGACCTTCAAACGCACTCAGGATGTCGCAACTCTTCCCTATGGTCCTTCTACCCAGATCTTCTACTGCCTCGATATACTGGTGCATCGACGGCAGTCTCATCAGTCTCACACTCCCATCCTCTTGTGCAATCTGCAATCCTTCTGGCGAGATATCATGGTCGGGAAGCGGCAAGGGTGTGAGTCTAAGCCATGGAAACGAAATCAACGACTTATCTCCGTCCAGTGCATTAACGTCCTCCCTCCATGTTCCTCCTCGGCAATGCCATACTGCAAATCCACCTGTAAAGATTAGCATTCTCCTAGACAGTAGCTTCTCTTGAAAACACCATGCCCGCTCCTCCCAAGCTTCATACTTAAGCTCCATGCGCATGGGTAGCACCATCCGGGCTTCTTCAATGATCCCGTCTTCCGTGAGCTGTTTCCCACGGCTTTGATGGTCATGGAGTCCTCTCAACCCTTCATCGGCGTGCAAGCTGTCTCCAGCAACAATGGTAAAAAGGGCACGGTTGTATATGTGACCCATACGCTGTATGTTGGCGTGCATGACTTGCTCGTCACCCTGTTGAGGAACGCAGAGCTGATCGACCCACATGAATCTTTCGCCTATGGCTTGGACGACCTCGATGGCGTGTTTGATGGTTTTTGGGATATGTACACCTTCGGCCTCGAGACTGTGTGCCCTTGACAACGCGACTTTGTTAGTTGAAGTCAGGTGTATACATGAGGTTGGGCGGGTCCATGTTGTCTTGTTTGTTTTCTCATTGTGGTAGTAAGACAGCCCTTGATTGTTTTTGTACTCTTTCCAGCCCCTCAGTAGTGGTAGAATTCCCCACCTGTAGCTCAAAGCTACGTACCTTAGGCCGGAGCGTAAGCCGATCATCTCAGAGAAATTCATCTCTATAATACACATCTTATGCACGTCAACAAGTCGAAAGATGGCGGCCTGATCCACCTCTTGAGTTGATATAGGCTTATTCACTGAATCACTCAGCAATTCTCCGCAATTGTGCGTCGACGTGCATGCCTCGACGCAGTGCTTGAAAAACGGGACATTGATTCGAGGACCAATCGTTTGCCCATACCAAATCTGTTGCTTTTCTAACCGTGGACGGCTGGTGTTTTCGAAACGCAGACTGAAATGACATATCTCCTTTAAGGGTGCGAGGGGTGCGCGTCCGTGCCCATAGACACGTACACTCAAGGCACCCCTCTTCTGTTCATCTTTCCGATATGCTCTGAGCATGAAAATGCAGGGCAACCGCTTCCTATTTTTGCTCTGCAGTAGGGCTAGTTGCCTCATCGTGAAGTGAGCGCTCGCCATGCCCTTCTGCAACTTCTCGCTTTTCTGGCTCGTGGCGAGATTGATGATCGTGAGGCTTGCGTTAGCTGCAGCTATTGTTTCGGCTACAGCGTCTCCAGACTTGTACGTATCCTCAAGGTCGTTCATTTTAAGGCTTTTGGTGTTGATGTCGCGATCTTCCGCCTCTAGAAACAACGTCTTCGCTTGCTGCAGCGTCGAGCTGGCAGCTTGCTGTCGGTCGACGGCGTATCCGAATGGCCATAGCCCAGCGCCTCCCACCCATTCTCGTTTCCAGTATGTGTTTTTCTTGATCCAATCTGAAAAGGTCCTCATGTTTTTGTACTTGTCGCTGTCCGGTAGATAGTTTTGAATATGTGGTGCCTTCAGCAAATCATATTCTGGCTCGCAAATGCTCTGAAACAGAATATTACAGAATTTGCAAAACGTGCTATTTGTTAGGATGCTTGAGAGGCTCATGTAGAATATAAGTGCATCCTTTGCTGGGCTAATGCGGTCTGTTACCTCGTCATTGCCTGGTACGCACTCCGCGAATGGTATCTTCTTGCAGGTTGTGCAGAGCTTGTCCGTCCGCATTCCAGCCCCATTTTTCACTACGTTCAGTACATCAGAACAATTCGATGTGATACTCTGGAAACTACGCCGCATATTTGAAGCTTGTTTCGAACCAAGATCCATATCATACTTCTTGTCTTCGCCTTCGCCCTTGATTGATGCCATAGAGTCATCATCTTCATAGTCCCCAGAAGAGCCATTTGACGCGCGCCCAGCTGGAAACGGATCGTTTGAAACCATGTTGAAATCGTTAAGTGTGTTAATAGTGGGTTGCGAAGATAGAGGAAGAGATTCATATTACTTGTTCTTGTAAAACTTCTTCTTTGACCATGTTTTTAACCTCGAATGGAGTGTGGGGGCGAGAGCATTAGGCATCAGGCGTAAGGCTTAAGACTGCGGCTCGGTGGCTGTGGGATTCTAGGCTATTCTCAAGTCGCACAAGCCCACATGGCCTTGTCTGCTCTGGCCCTATAGAAACCGTGGTCTATAGTGTAACAATTTAAACTCTCCGTTGATGATTGTCATTTAATGAGCACCTGGACAGCATCAGGCTGGAAGTTTGATTCTGGAGTCCAGAAGAAGACATAGACTAAAGCAAACTGTCGAACATGTATGACCAAGCGTTATGACAGCTTAAGCAAGATAGCGTAGCTAGCGAGGCTGAGCGATGGATCTTCGAAGGAATATGAAAGGTTCTCCATGACTTGCACGATACCTAAGTATAAGCACTAGAGACTGCGGGCAGTCCATATGGTTAGGAGCCGGGGAGGATTCGAGTGAGAACACCTTCCGGTTTGGGGTTGTCTGCATGAGGCTATCATGGCGCTCATCATATTGGTGGCGATTCGCCTCTTTCTCAATAAGTAAATGATCAGTATTCAGGCTATGTTCTTGAGTTGGTGGGATATCGATCGACAAAATTACGTGAGCCCTGGTTCATATCAGATAATACACGGATGTTTGACGTCTGTCTCTTACCTCCCCTTCCCTGGTATTGAGCGACATGTACTCGGCTGGAGCGAGCTCCATAAAGCTGCTCTACCTTTAGGTGTTGTTTTAGCGCGTTCTATAGCACATCTTATAGTAACGCAATACTCTACCATACATCCATACCATGGCCACTAGCGAATCCCCACTGTCGTATGTTTTCGCTTTTGGATCTTTTATTGTTTGCTCAATCTGTAAGTCACGTGACTAGGTCTTGGCATTCTGACCAGCCGCAACTGCGTGACTTGTACATGAGCGACAATAGACCTGATCAGAGGTTACATGGTCAAATTCAACAAGCCCGGTTTTGGCAAGCGAGTTTATGTTCCACCACTTCTTCCGTGGGCCACAAGAACGGCCAGTGAGTCGACCGGCACAAACATGCGTGCACTCAGCTGCAATGCCAGTGGGCGTGAGCGCGGGCCACGACGCCAAGACGCGATGCGGGGGGAGTTCCGGTTCTCTGGACTCTTTTTTTGCACTCGCAGGACCCCACCAAAGCGCAGCCAGAAAATCTACCGATTCGACCACAACCTGCGCGCGTTCGAAACTTGTTCTGGACAACGCCAACCTGCTCTGCATTCACAAAGGCGACCTGGACCTTTTTGCCTCCCTTCTCGAATACGCCAACCTTTGCGCGCCAGAGTGCGGCCCCGCCGCCAGCAAGAGCCAGTCACATCACATCTCCCGAGCCAACCTTGCAGCCTGTTGCAGCGCGTGTTCGAAACCCTATCCCGCCACCTTTTGACATGCGTTAGCAGCATTCGACCGTCTTTTCCTTGACGTACGGTCGCGGGAAAAGAACGGGCGGAATACAATGGCGACCGGCCTGGATGAGCTTTTGGAATTTTTGCTCTCAGAAATTGCTCTCCTCGGGGTTCAAGGTATGCATGACTCGCTGCACGCGTTCTCGCTTTGAGATTACATCAGCCACCCTTTGCCCGTGTCACCACTATTACTTTGATATAGTACCTCACCCTTTGTTTGTTTCTTGGTCCCTAAAAAACATCATCTCTGCGGATTTTGTGTTTTCTCATTGTTCCATCGAATATTCTAACGGCTTCACTCTTCTGTCGTGCTTGACTTTACTAGACGTCAACCGCTAATCCTTGTACAGGTGCAAGTAGCGCAGACTTTCGTCGTTTCATTCAAAACTTCTACAACCAACCTCAGGATGATGCGCAATCCAGATCTCATGACCAGACCGAGACGTCTGAGTCAACAAACGGTCTTGGCCGCAAGTTCTATGAACGCACCTGGCAATGGCTCACTAATCATCCGGACATTCGCATTGTCTATAAGGCAGAGGTTCAGAACTATACCCTCTCTGAGTTCGAAGCGGCTGAACTACATGAGAGTGGTACCATTGGCGACCCACATGCAGCAGAGTCTGACCAGCGCTTGAGTACCTCTGCGATCAAGAGAGCACATCCCTCAAAGACTTTGAGTGGGCTGAGAGAAGCCCTGCGGCAGAGAATTTATGGCGAGGAAGGCGGGCCTAGAATACCTTCTAGTCTACCGAATCAAGCTATAGTCTCAATATCCGCTGTCCGGTCGTCTCGCAGTGTGGTAGAAGCTCCACAAACCACAACAGCAATCTTTGATGAGCCCAACTCTACCATGACTGCGCCCCGTCTGTACACAAGTCAAAATAGAGTTTGGCAGGCATTGACCGGCCATGGAATTGATCTGAAGAAGGTCCCAAGCATGGAGTTTGTACTACTTTCACTTATCGCTGCTCGTGGTGCTGCCGGCATTACCCAACCGGAGCTCATTGCTATCAGCGGCCAGGACAAGAGATCTGTACCGCACAGAACAGATGAGCTGGCCCGTAAAAACTACATATCCAAGTATCCCGTTCAGTCCAACAAGATGCGGACCAGTCTTTGCATTCATACAAAGTTCGTATCTCAGAACGCTTTCATCGAGTCCAGTGCTGTGGAAGATGTATACCAAGATGATGGAACATTTGTGGTCAGAAGCTTTGCTCAGTTACTATATAATAAAGTGGGTGAAGGGGGTATCGTTCCCACACGAACCATCAGGCAGAAGCTGGTTAGTGTATTGCGAAAGCAGAGTATATACCTTGCTAATATCCCTAGGGCGTACCAATGTCGGCATGGAACAAGCGGGCTACACAAGGTGCCCTAATTCGATTAGATCAGAGCGGAATGATCAAGCGACGTAGGATTCGTAAACAAAAGTCTGAGGATGCCTGGATCACTTGCATCCAGGTAATGCGTGCGCCAAGAGAAGAAGATCTCAAGAATCTTGGTTTTCGACGCACAATCAATCCCGCTGATGGATCGGGTGCAGAGCCACTCGACGAAAGTGCTGATGGTGATGACATAATGAAAGATCTCGAAGACGACATGCTAGACGATTATGAACCCAGTGCCAATCCTCAAGACAATACGTCTGCTACCGAAAAAACCGATACTATACCTCCGCAATGGACACCGGATCACTTTCTCCCCAACACAGTCTTCAATGCCGTCGCATTGGGTGGTCCACGTGGATGGGATGCTGAGACTTTGCGCGACCGAATCGTCGGACCATTCTGGAGGCGTCCAATGGAATCATATTTCTCCCGTATAACAAACGACTGGGAGAAAACGCAACCGCTTCATCTTCGTCATCTGGCCGTCATTCGAGATCAGGGTGTGACTGATGAGAAGAAATTTCTCCATTACGTCTATCGTACATATGCCAATTTCGAAAAAGCTGTAGAGCTTCAATATGCCCATTGGGAAGGTGTAGCCAATTTTGGGCCTGACGAGGTGTTCGATCCCACCAGTAACGGCGCAGTCCTGGATGCTTGGGGTTTCCCTGCTATCAAGTCAAGCAACCTGGTACGAGGATCTGGTTCAGCAACACTATCTGAGGCTGGCGCAGTCATTGTAAAGCAGCGCAAATACGGCTCCCGATGGGACAATGCATTGGGACAAGAGATCAGCTACCAAAAGCCTTCGAAAACTGTGCCGAAAGAGAAAACGCCGCGCAAACTAGGTCGACCGAAAAAGGCCGCAAAGACTGTCAGAGAAAAGCCTGTCAAAGTAGCCAAAGACCCGAAACCGCCGAAGAAAACCTCGGGTCTTTCACTCACATCTGAAGAGATGAGGTCGTTAGGCCTAGATCCTAATGTTCGTTTGAGCAAAAATATCCAGAGGCAGATCCTTACACATCGTCAGATGACAGGAGATCCAACGTCGCTACCAGACGCGGTTGTGCCAGACAATGCTAAGCGCCAACTCAGTGTGCCTCTCATGACAAAGGAGGAGCGGGTAGCTGCTGGTTTGTCTGCACGAGGACGTCTGGGTATAGAACAAGAAAACAAGATCCGAGAGGAGCGCGGCTTGCCCAAGTTAGTCAAGAAGGAGAAGAAGCGAGTAACCAAAACGAACAAGGAGCCTACATTGCTCAGCAAGCAGCAAAGAATAGCACTAGGCTGGAAGGACCATGGTCGATTACCACAAGATCTTATCGAAGGTCTTCGTCGGGAGAGGGAAGAAGGCATTGCTCTTGAAGATTCAAAGGTCATTGCTAAGTATATGGATGAGATGAGGGCAAAGGCGTCGTCGTCGAATACACCCAAAAAGGCCAACGGAGCGACTCGAAAACCTGTTGAAATAACAGATGGGCTTGATGAACACCAGGAGAATCAAACTACGGACGAATTATCAAAGCCCAGTTCCAAAGAGCAGGAGTCTCTGGAAAATTCTTCGCTTCACAGCGTCTCAGGGAAGCGGAAGGCTAAGAGCCCAGTGACCACCCCAGTGTCAACGAAAAAGCGGCGCAAGGGAACAAGTACTCCGCAGGGATCGACCCCAGTGCCTGTTCTATCGTTTACGACATCTCCAGAAAACACCATCAGCCAATCTGAGAGCCGCGCTCCATCAGCAGTCCCTGACGAGCAAAGCGTGTGCAACACAAACTCAATGATTTTGAAAGATATCGGCCGAACAGCTGAGCCAATGACGCTGTCAATGGATGAGCAAATTCTACCAAGTGTGGAATCTGAGCCTTGTTTGCGGCCTCCGAAAAAGATCTACATGGCTCCGGATACCACTAAACTCGACGACGAAGCCCTAAAGGCCATTGACCAGTACGAGAAGCGATCTTTACCTGGGCTTTATCTCAATCCCTATGTGAAGCAAAAAGTTGCAAGAGGTCGGCCACGGAAAGCACTAATGGCGACATTCAAGTTACCACGCCTAGAGGAGATAGACTGGTACATGGCAGAAGAGACTCGAAGAAAATCAACGAACCATGACTGTGTCGCGATTGCTCCTGATACCACACAAAAACCCACATCTCATGGTGTGGAAGACATGGTTGTTTCAAGACATAGTTCATATGCTGCGCAATCGGAGCAATCGCATGCCGAAATACAGTTGCGAAACGACATAAAGACACGGCATGATATTCAAAATCATACCCCGCCACCTTCCACACCTGGCAAAGCCGCCTCAGTGGAACCTGAAGGAATGCCAGTGAGTCACGAAAACAGCGCCGACCAAAGGGCCGAGACCGAAATGCCCGAGGCCCCAGACCCAGGCAAAGGCGAAATCCAACCACATGTTGTCTTTGATGTATCGAGGACACAATCACCACGACCGATTCCATCGTTGGCACGCAAGTTAGGCGGTTGGGCTCCCATCAACGCGCCTGGCCCTGATCGTCCTTCCCCGTATCAAAGCCCTTATGCCAAAAGTCCAACGTTGGAACTCCAGCCACAATCAGAGACTCCAGGCGTTGGCCATGACATTGGCCAAGTCCCGATAGCTGATGGCTCACATGTTCCCACATCTGAGACGAGTGATGACAAAAAGCTTCCTGATGGTATGTACACGACTATTGTAGAAGCTCCTGTGCCCCCCGTATCAGGCACCAAACCAAGGGTCAAAGAGCACGGAAAGGGTGGAAGTCAGCGCCGCTTCAGAGAAAAGGTCATCCTAGACATCATCAAACGCTGCAATGGCGTGTTTCCTGGAGGAGGTGAAATCCTACGGCCGTTTCTCACCCTCTGGCGCGAGCGGCACTCCAATATCAAAGAACCATCACTTAGTACTATCAGCGAAACCCTCAGGAGTATGGCTGCCCGTCCAGAATTTGGACTGAAGCACTGGAACTTTGCCTCGCAGAACAAGAATACCCCAGGCACAACCACCCGAAGGATGTTTACATGGGCACACCTGAACGAAAGGAGCCCAGAAGTCTTGAAGCTGGCACACAATATGGCACAATACTCTCACCAAAAGGAGTACACCGCTCGTGTTTCGGAGAAATCTCTTTTGTACTACCCTGAAGAAATACGTGATCTCATTGGCGACGTTGTCTCATACCAGCCAGTTCAGGCCGCCCCCAAAGACGAGAGCATCGTCCTCAACCCATCGAATCCTGACATTGAGAAACAAATCAAGGAAGCCAAACAGCGCCGACAGTTGGAATTGAAGAACCAGAAGATGCTCGAAATTAAGGCTCGCAAGATTCAAGACGCTAGGGTCGAACAGGCGCTTTCAAAGCTGCCTCATGGTCCTGATGGTGTGCCGCGCGCGAAACGAGCAAGACTGGCAAGTCTGAACGACAAAAGTAAGAGTCTTCGGCGAGCTCCCTTGTACTCTGCAGATATGCAGACGCTCGGAGAGGAGCTTGATGATGCAGAAACGGTGGGACCTGACGTCGGCACGACTAATCAGACTGGACAAGTTTCACTGGTTTGGATGCGTCCTATCATCGCGCCTGCACCAGAACGTGAACCAATACCAACTGAGGAACCGTCTGAGGATGAAGAAAGCGAAGATGAAATAGCTGATTGGGAAGGGCGAGCAGTGCATGAAGATGAAGATGTTAAGACTCAAGATCCGTTGCCAGTTATGGAGTCCATCAAGGACCATCTCCAGAAAGACATTGCGACGACCGAGCCTGATCAAACGGGGCAGAAGGAAGACTCACCTGAATCGCCGGATGTTGAGACTGCTAACCCGTCTACCGTTGTCAAGAATAGCAAGAAGCGTGTAAGAATTGTTGTCCCTCAGGACCAATCTCCCAGGAAGAGGGCCCGCTTAACACCTGTGGTCGCCACTCAACCACAGGATGGGGTACATACACCACAATCCAACCCTGACGATGACCGTGAAGGGAGTCGTGATATAGCGCGAATCGAGTCGAAGAAACAGGGTGGCGGTGCAGTCCACGGTCGCCAGCGAAGCAAGCGTGACCCTCCTCCCACATTGCTTGAACGTCTTACTGGCCTTACGGGTGACCAAAATGATCCAATCTACCAGCAACCGCAGAGTGGTCCAAGGTCCAATTTGGCATCACGTCCATGGAGTGAAAGGAAGAAGATACAGATCGAAAAACACGGAAAAGAACGCCAGTACATCAAGGCTGTTGATCAAGTAGATGAGTTTAACAGGCTCTTCTGCGCCTTCGTGGTGGTCTCTTCTTTGTCTGGAGAAGATGGATCAATGGACTGGAGCCTTATCAAGCGGGTGTATTCGAACGACAAACGCTTCGACCTAAGCACAGCTCGGAAACTATGGTCCTGGATGCAGAATCGCATAGCTAAACAGGTGGATGAGTTGACAGCGTCATTTCAATCGTTATACCTGGAGGCTTATGAGACTGGCAAAGTTGCTGCCATCGAAGATCCTGAGACACATGACTGGGCAGGTCTCGTACGATGGGCGTCATGCAAATGTGCTTTCCCCGAGCTTCCTCTCCCAATTCTTCAGGAAGCACTACAACATTATTCCATTGAGGAATCGAGCTACGAAAATTTGGATCGTGTTAGTTGGTTCAAGGCCACGATAGCGGATCGAACAAGAACCATGCTCCAACTTCAGTATTCCTTTACCGCTCCCCTTCATCGCTCGCGGAAGCCGGCTTGGTCGCCTGAAGACAAGCTTCTCAAAGCACGGTCATGGGTTCGGGCAAATACAGCGACGCCACAATCTCACTATGACGCAAATCTGGCACACGAGAAGCTCAAGGACTTGGGTGAATCAACTTTGGTCAAGGTTGTTGGAAACTTTGTGGAGAAGCAGCACCTCAGGATGCGAAAACTCAAGCGCCTTCTACCAGGACGTAACTACAATTTCACTCAGACACTGGCAAAGAAGTATGCGCGATTGTTTCAGCTCGATGATTTCATGACCGCAGTCGAAGTCAAGAAGAATATGGATGCTGCTTTCGTAAGCAAAGATCCAGATATGTGTTCGTACAACATTTCACGGTGTGAAGACGACAGTGCTTTTGCAGCCATCATGACAATGGTCAACGAGGGAACAGTCAGGCTTGTTCCTCAGCTACCTCCCATCAACAACGAGCTCAACAGTCCGCTCCCTAAGCTATCAGTGTGGGGATTCTGTGAGGGTGGCTACAATCATCGGGCAATTGATCGGAGTCGCTTCTTCTGGGACATTCATGTTGTCCCCACGGAAAAGTACAAGTTTGGCAACCCATTGCAAACACTACCTTCTCCAATCTTATCCAAGGACGACCAGTCGACTACATTGTGGCACCCTCTGCCTGAGCCGCCTCTTCCTGGCAAGTGCGATGCACACGCCTTGCTCCCGATCTGGAGCAGTATTGATGGTCAGCATGTCACGTGGGCCTGGTGGTACCGCGTCCTGAATCTTGTATTGCAACCACTGGTTTTCATGGCCGGCGCCACTGCAATGGATATACAGGCTCACTGCCCTGAAAACACCACTGAGCTCTTCGAAATCCAACTTGTTCTGGACTGGCTCGAGTCGGTCTGCGCAGTCAAGAAAACTGTCGGTGGTGGCTACATCACCCTTCCAGGCTTCTGGGGTGCTTTCGACGACCAGTTGCACGATACGGAGAATGACTGGTTCGGCCAGCATGTCAAACGGAAGCCAAAGAACCATGACAAGCAACGTTGGCGCATGGATTACAATTTGAGACACTCTGCATTACAAGCCCGAAATACACAAAATGCTCATACGGCCCCTACCACGGACGAGAAAGGCGGTACAAACACAACAGAAGCCGGCGCATTAGAGACGACCACCAGTCGTCAGATTTTGATGAATCCGAAGCGACAGTATCGTATCACGCAGAAAGCTCTCGATGCTCAGTCATCTCAGGAAGATCAAAACAAGTCCGGCTCTGTAACAGTTGACAGTCCCACAGCCACTGGAGAACATACTAGACAGAGCTCTGTGACAGAAAACAGATCAAGTACTACACAAACTCCAGAGACATCAAATAACTCGGGTGATGATGTCAAGATGGCAGATGCAAGCGGGGAAGCAGGAGGTGTGGAGGATGTCGACGCCGAAGGCGAACTTGAAGACACATATTGATCGTCAGCATGTCTGATACTCAACCAAACCCACATCATCTGGTCTCCAAAAGGCCCCGTTTTTTTTGTCAAAATTTCTTATTCTCTCTGAAAACATTTCTTTTTTAACTATACATGCATAGCGATGGAGCATAATGTGTTGGCTTTATACCACGGAAATGAGGACGTTCCACCAACGGCAATATGCCAGGATTACTGTACAGTAGAGTTCATGTGAGAAGAAGTTCTAATGCATGCTATGTGCGATGCAACAATACAAAAGTTTCTTGCTGATTCAAAACAATGGGACTAGAGTGTCATAAGCTTCCAACGTTAGACTACCTTTTTCCACTATCGTTCAACTTACATCCATCCAAATTTCGAGGATTTCCCAAAAGTTTGTCTACGAATGCCTACATTAAATTGTAAGTTTTATAAATCGATGATCCGGGTAGTCGCGAGTAACTTTAGCACACGGAGCACGAAAAAGAAAAAAAAGAGTAGTACGATCAAAGACGTATCTTCGAATACTATATCGATGGTATAAACCCCCAACTGCCAAACTCCCACAGATCCAGCCATCTTCTCACCTCTCTCTCTCTCTGTAGTACTGCCAGAACAATTACACAGAATCCCACTTTCCCCCCCCCCCCTCCTGGAACTCCCCAAGCACTTTCCACCCATCACCCCCGCTCTAACAGTTCGTAGTCTTCGCCGCAGCAAGATTCTTCTGATTCTGCGCCGTTCCATCAGTAACCTCCTGCACCAACGTATTCAATGTATCCGTGTCCGTCGCCGCCTGGTTCTTCAACCCCTTAACCTGATCCTGCTCCGTGATCTGCGCGCCCTGGACGATATTGAGCCCGTCGAGCGCCGGGCTCGAGATTTCCTTGGCGAGTTTCTGGTTGTTGGCTCGGATCTCGATGCCGCGTTGTTGGATGTTGAGGACTTTGGCTTGCGTGGTCTTGAATTCTGCAGTGCCGAGTTGGGCTTGGAGGGTTTTGACGCTGGTGGGGTTGTTGTTAGAAGGGAGGTTTAGGAGGAAAAGGGAGGAAGGGGAGGTTTTACCCTTGGAGCTCTTGGGCTTGGATGTTGAGGTTGTCTTGAATGCCTTTTTCGAGTTGGGCTTTTGTTGCTGCGCAGGTGGCGTTGGCGGCGCCGCCGCCGCCAATGACTGCAGCGGCTTTTCCAGAGTTGCAGTCTTGGTTTGCTGGCAAGGCGAAGACAGGAGCCAGGAGGGCGAGGAAGAAGAAGGCCTTCATTTTGGGTGGTTGGGATTGATTAAGATTGGGAAATTGGGGAAGAGAATGTAGGCTTTAGAAAGAATCGAAGGGACTCACACCGGGTGAGAGGTAGAAAGGAATGCTGGAGAAGATTAGACTGATTTTTGGACTGGAGATATTGGATAGATGGTGTCAGTTACTTTTATATATTTCCAAATCTCACTCTATCCTCCAAACTTTCTTTTCTAAATCGCCCGGACCGAACGAAATCCACACTTGATCGCCGTACATAGAGCCAGGCAAAATTCGAAAATGTCAGCATTTCAACACATTCTGTACTTCAGTGCCGAACCTTCCCTCATCCCGTCCCTTGTGGCGCGCCACTTTCCTAATGGCGAGAAGACTACTTGTTTCGGTGCACGAGCGTTAGAACAAAAATCCCCACCCAACCATAATAGCGCCCCAATACAAGTTTCGAGCGTGTGGAGCTGTGGTTCGTTGGCTTCAGTGCACACTAGTTGGCGGTCAAATATCACTAGAGACAGCCGTGATACTCAAAGGGGGCGTTTCGTGTCGCATGTTTGCAGATGAAACTAATCGGTCCGCGTACAGTAAGGGCTTGTCGAAGCTTATTTCTGTGAAGCGAGCGGGAACTTCGTTACGGCCGAGTATACCTGGATCATTTGTACTATGTTGATTGGCTTTGGGAGTGTGTGTGGTCTGGGTATGTCATCATGTTACAATGTAAGACGGGGGAGTGACAGGAAGGAAAGGGGAGCGAGTGCGAACGAGTCGCAATTTCCCGTAAGGACAGGTTATGCGATGCAATAATGATTTTGGAGTTTTTGCGATAATGATTTGGATAAAAATAATTTGAGACACAAAACCTCGACACTAGAGATGTATTTCGAGGTCGCATGTTATGCCGAGCAGGTGGAGCAGCAAAGAGTAAACTGCAGGTCTGTGCATACAGCAACCCACTATTCCAACTGCAAGGTACCCGCAGATACCCATTCTTAGTATTCATGGGCTGTGACGGATGTGCCGTACTTGTCAATGCACTGTAAAGTACTGGGTAGGATGCTCTCGGAGCAGGCGACTCTCCGGTTACATCTGCCAGTCGCATAAACCAGCCATAAGGCAAGATCAGTGGTGTCCATCAAGACAAGAAAGCACCTTTAACTGCTGCTCTTGCTTCAAAAAGGTAGTACAGCCGATCAAACCGTGAATATTGTTTTCTGGGCCCGTCCCCAGAAACTTTTGGATTTGGATCATCAGTCCAAGAACATTGGCGTTTGCAGCCAAAACGTGGAGGTCGATAAGGCTGTTCAAAATATGAGCCTTGCCCTTGCAGCACATCCCTTGGCATGCGATGGCGATGGGAGACCTGCACAAGGATCACAGAGGGTGGAAGATGCATGCTATACTGCCAAGGATATAGGGGGGCGAATGCATACATTTTTTGCTGCTAGTTATATATAGTCAAATGTTTGATTTCAACCATCTTTCCTACTGATAAAGCCCGTGGTTTGTTTTTTCTCCGAAGAAAGCAAAACGTATTACAACATACATGAGTCACCAATTTATTTGCCCATGAATTGCTTAAACAGTGTCTCTTAACTACGCATTATGCATTGAATTTTCTCGGTCTTCCTCAATTCTGTACTAGCGCTGATTACTGTGCTAAATTCTAAATTCTCGTACGTCAATGCGCAATGATTGAGACAATTTGATGGTTAATTTCCATACGTCGCGCGGCAGGACATCACGCAGTTTGACACTGGAGCAACGAACAGCATCACTATGAGCCTCAGTTGAGCAATAATAGAAAGCAATGAAGGAATTGGAGATGAAACTCCAGTGGCTGATTTGGATATAAAGAATAATTTCGGGAGAAGAAGGCTGACTTTATGTGGTGCCACAAACTGCGTTTTCGTCAAGAAGAAAATCACAAATGATCAAAGCCAAGATCGAGAAGCTCAAAACTTCAGAGACTGCTTCGTGAGAAGCCAACACCGTCGTGGTTTATTAAAGGCTCAGGGGTTTGCTTCAAAATGAAGTAGTCAGTACATTCAGCACTGAGGCAGAGTTAAGGGTCGTCAAAATAGTTAAATAAAGCCTTATTAGGTGAACGGATACAAAAATCATCAGAGTCGCTAAGCAGTTGTCGGAAAAGCGGCTGCAACAACGTCAAGATCGAGCAATGGAGTGTACCAATACCGATGATATCTGACCAACGTGTGAAATAGGAGTGCCGCAGTAAGACTAAGATTAGTGTTTGGCAAGACTTACTTGCTGTACGTACCATGGAGCCTAGGAGACATATCTGTCAACGCCATCCGAATCGAGAAGCCTTAGCTAGAAGAAGTTGTTCTTGTAAAAGCAGAGATACGCAAACTTCGAGATACACCTTTAAGAGTTCCACGGTATAGTCAGAGACAACCAAGATATTACAATTTAGTAGACAAAATCAGTCTCAAGGGGACTTGTTTATGTCACCCACATGGTGCCGATCCAGATATACACGACAAAGAACTTGCCGTGAGTAAATTTGCTTTCTTCAAATCATAATTAAATTTGATGTATGCACATATGTTTAGTGCTACGAAGAGGGAGGCCTGAGGCCACTTGAAAATTTCTTAGGCCACGAGCTTTTACAATTAAGCGTTTTGAGTATCAAAATCATTGTATGAATTAGGCACTAATCCTTGTGCTCAATTGAATAAGAAATGCATCCATCTCAATCAGGGACTACGGGATGGCACGCCTAGATGACGAACAAAACAACTCATTAGTAGTGTTAAGGATAGTAAAAACTGAGACTTGGAGTAAATCTGTGCACCACTTAGCAATAACGAGGTCCCAACAGTAAAGTCACCCTACTCTCTAATAAGAAGTTAGGAAAATTACCATCAGCGCTTGATCGAAGTCGTGAAATTAATACTGAGCGGGTGAAATCGTTATTCCGCCACCAAGTGGCATACAAAAAGCTGTCAACATGACTATGAACGGTACTGCGAGTGACTTTGCCGTTGGATATCCTCATGTACCAAACAAACTGGTAGGAAAATGGCTTTGCCGAAATATTAAGAATACTAGCATGCGTTGTGTAGCAACCCACAGCAAGTTTTTCAATTACTCATCAACTCAGATTCTCAAGCGATATCTGTACTGAGACTGTTGTCGTACGCCTAATGATAAGCGCAAGGGCGGGACAGTACCTGAAGAAGCCCAATGAATGGGATTGTACTGGCATTAAGATTTAATTTGTATCGTGTGGTTCTTTATCGGATTCCAAAGATAATCTAGAATCAGAGCAATGGCCCCGATTTTTTGATAGGCAAAGACAACGAAGGACTTTGGTATACCCACTTACAACTCTTTAATGATGCAGAGGAGATACAACATGCAGATTTGGAACCGCAGGGTATCCCCGATCTGACAGCTGCTGCGGAGATCAACTACAGAAGTTGAGACACTAAACTGGTATTAAACCTAAGAAAGTGTACGACAATCCAATCTCTCAAACATATACGAACATCATCCCAGAAACCTATATCAGCACTTGATATCACTTTACCTTCAAGAAAATATTCCGGTAAAACTTCCCAAGCAACCTACGTACCCCCCATGGTCGTTATCATCCCGAAAAGCCCCGCACTCCACGTGACCCCAATTCCACAGCTGCAGCCTCAACAAGCTTCACCACGCAAAAGAAAACGGGGGTGGTAGTGGGCACACAAGCATGGCACGACTAAAAGGCCTGATCATCTACATCGCGAACCCTACCTTCGAATCTACTCGACCTCCTTGAAAGAAAGAAAAAAAAACGCTACTATCAATCACGACTCGAGCGAAAACGTACCTTCAAAATGCCCATCCAAGTCACCCGCATGACCGAATCCGACATCAACGGCGCAATCGACACCATCCAACAAGCCTTCGCCAACGACCCCTACAACCTCTGGATCTACCCGGACCGCTCCAAAATCTCCCTCGAACGCAACCGCGTCTCCTTGACGCTCCGCTGCAAATGGGGCATCTCCCACGGCCTCTTCTACGTCGCCCGCGACACCGCCACACCTTCCAAAATCCTCGGCTGCGCAATGTGGCTCCCGCCGCACCCGACGTCTGAACACGAGTCCTGGGCGCAGTACCTATCCGGTTGGTGGCTGTGGCTCAACCAGGTGCGCATGAATGCGTGGTATGGGCGCGGGGGACTGTCGACGACGCGGTATTGGATTTGGAAGGCGCGGCAGGCCGAGGCGCAGAGGGAGCTGTGGACAGATCCACAGGGTTACTATTTCTGTAATATTGTTACGGTCCTGCCGGAGTGTCAGGGGCAAGGGGTGGGCAGGGCGCTGATGGAGGTGGTGCTGGAGATGGCGGATAGAGAGGGAAGGAGGGCGTATCTGGAGAGCAGTCGGTGGGAGCCCAATGGAGCGATTTACGAGAAGTTTGGGTTTAGGTTGATCAAGGAGATGGAGTGTAGGGATGGGCAGGGGGACAAAGATGCGGTTACGCTTTATTGTATGATGAGGGAGCCGAAGGGGGGGAAGTAGGGGTGGACGATGAGATGGCTAGGGAGAGAGAGGGGGAAAAGGAGCGATGTGTGCGAGTTCACGGTGAAGATGCCATGCTGCGATGTTTGATTGTTAAACACATACAGTACCATGAAGGTACAGAGCAAAGCGACATCAAGACGGTTGTAGTTCTCCCGGAAAACAGCCAAGCGAGGCGGCCTTGTAAGTAATTACGTCAAGAACGGACTCGACGTTACTGCAAATGATGAGCAACAAAGAGCTGAAAAGCAGCAAAGAGCATAGCCGTACGACACACACCGTCTAACGACCTCCTCCTTACCCATCAGATCATCACTCAACCTCATCGTCGATTCAGTATCAGAAACAAGACATGGCATTTCCAACAATCACGCCACTCCCTTTACCGCAAGCCCATCAGACGTGCAGCCCAACTACTTTTTCCTTCAAATGGTCCTCTGGATATACGACCCGACAAATCAAAACAACAGTCCGCAT